CACCCCTGGAGGTAGAGGCCATGTTCATCAACCATATTGCAGGGCACCTGGTGGGATAAATAACAGCAGGGCCTTTGAGGGAGTTCTCAGGTGTCGGGCCCAGTGGAGGTGAGCTATGGCATCAATTATCCCAAAGCGTCCCATTCCCTGAAATCGCCCTATGGGATGACAGTTACGGGTTGCTCTGGAGGGAGCAATCCTCTTCCCATTCTACTTGCCATGAGCTTGAACCAGAATTCAAATGTCTTTCTCTTTCCTTGAGTGAGATGGGAAAAGGTAGGCCCAGCACTCCTAGAAGCAAAGGAGATGAACCCAGGCGGGAAATGCCAGCTGCAGGTCTGCAAAGTGCAGAATCAAGAATTGAATGTAGGTCTCACTGTGGAACGTTTCTGAGGAGCCTGAGAACGCCTCTGTGCAAATACCGCCTCAGGGAGTGCATTCGTGGGGAAGTAAGAGTGTGGGGAGAGGGAAGTGAGGCCGGCGTGGACGAGAGCAAACAGGCTGCGGTATTGCTGGGCTGGCCACAGCTTTGCAGCCAACACAGCTGGTTGCTCAGACACCCGGGCTGTCTCCATCGATGCCACGTGGACCCACCACATTTTGGAAGAGTCTGTCGAAGGAGAGGAAGGGCAAGCAGTTTCTCTCTTGTCTCTTTCCCATCGCTTGTCTCTTGCTGGTCAAAGTCTACCTCACAGGCTGCCTCCCTCCCGTTTCAGAGAGTGTCACTGGCCCCTCCCCAGCCACCAGGGAGCCGGTGGGGCCCAGGCAGTGCAGGCACAGGGGCTTTGCCGCTTTGCTGGCAGCGGTGGCAGTGGCTTTAAGACCGTGGGACCAAGTTGCAAGGCAGAGGCCTGAGGTGCGCAGATCCAGGGGGTAGTAAACTCAGTTCAGGTTCTTGAAATCAGTGCATGCCACTTGCATAAATGATCCTAATTTCAGCCAAAGACTCAGTGAGCAAAGGCTATGATGTAGTCAGGATGCGTAGCCTTTGTTACGCTTAAAGGGGCAGAGAGACTGGCCTTCTTGTCTGGCTGGAGGTTGCATAAAAGGTCATGATCAGTTGTCCCTGTTTTTGTTGAGGAACTGAATTTTTTAAAAATAATATTCTTTTTGTTTTAGTTGATTGATTTTTAAAAAATATATATATATATATTTTTTTTATTTCAGAGAGGAAGGGAGAGGAAGAGAGAGAAACATCAATGATGAGAGAGAATCATTGATTGGCTGCCTCCTGCATGGCCCTCACTAGGGATCGAGCCCACAACCCGGGCATGTACCCTTGACCGGAATCGAACCTGGGACCTTTCAGTCCACAGGCCAACGCTCTATCCACTGAGCCAAACCAGCTAGGGCTTTTAGTTGATTATTTTAATTTTAGAGAGAGAGAGAAACATCGTCATTATATGTGTGAGAAAGAAACATAGATTGGTTACCTCCTACACATGCCCTGACTGGGAATCTAACCTGTAACCTGGATATGTACCCTGACCGGAATCGAACCCACCACCTTTTGTGCACGGATGACGGTCAGCCAGCTGAGCCACAGGGGCCAGGGCAAGGAACCGAATTTAAATTGCAACAGGAAGGCTGCAATTTCAGAAAAACCCTGGTTAGTAGGAACTCAGCTGTCTGAAACTCTCATTAATTAGGAATCTATTGCTGCTTAACAAAATATTGTAAATCTAGTGGCTTAAAAGAACACACACTTATTGTCTCACAGCATCTGTAGGCCGGGAGCCTGGCTGCGGCTGAGCTGGGTCCTTCTCGGGGTCTCAAATGGCAGCCATCAAGGGGTTGGCCAGGGCTTCGCGGAGGCTTGACTGGAAAAGGCCGTTCCCATGCTGGTTTGGGTTGTTGGCAGGAGTCAGCTCCTTGCAGTTGTAGGCTGAGTGCTTCGGTTTCTTGCTGGGTGTTGGCCAGAAATTCTCAGCAACAACCAGGGGTCTTGCCTGCAGTCCTTACCACGTGGGCGTCCCCAGCATAGCCATTGCCTCCTCCGCGCCATCAACGGAGGAAAGAGAGTCCAGCAAGATGGTGCTCCCATCTCATGTAACACAGTCCCACGCACAGCATCGTGTGTACCTGCCACCACTGCTGTTTTCTCTTGGTTAGAGTCTAGTCTCGGGTCCTGTCCACACTCAGTGAAAGGGATCATACAAGGGCGTGAACACAGGAGGCTGGGATCCTGGGGCCACCTGAAGAGTCTGCCCACCACACCTCATTTTGCTAGAATTCTATTTACAAGCAAAGGCAGCAAATACGTAAAAACACCCCACATGTTTATTCAGGAATTAGGTTGAAGAAAAAAGCCCCATGGGATGTGCTGACTCAACCTACATCACCATCGGCAGCCCCCTCTGTACCAGAGGAAAGATGGCCCAGGGTCCAGTCCATTCTGCCTGCCCACCCCCATCTTCATGCCTCCACCCGCTCCTGCTCTTTGTTAAGCAGAGAAATGGGCTCAGTCAGCAGAAGGGAGACATAGCCTTACTCATTTGTCAATATTTAAGCTTTCCAAGTTTTCTGCTTTTCAATATACTAGAACAGTGGTTGGCAAACTGCAGCCCCTTGAGTGTGGCTCTTCCACAAAATACCACGTGTGGGCGCGCACGTATAGTGCGATTGAAACTTCGTGGCCACACTCAAGGGGCCAAAGAGCCGCATGTGGCTCGCGAGCCGCAGTTTGCCGACCACTGTACTAGAACATTCAGTTACCGAAGACATCCCCATGCCTAAAACACCAGGCAACCGGAGCCTGCTCTGCTCGAAAAGGCAGAGTCAGGTTCTGCCTCCCGCGTGATGGTCCTGCATGGGCTTGCCTTGGACTGAGCAGCCACGGAACCCCGGGCGCCTCACTGGGGGCTCGAGTCGGGGCAGTCTTGGCCCCATTTGCAGCCAGCTGTTCCTCTGGGCCTTTTTCCCTTTCTCCCGCCTGCCTGCCTGGCCTCACGTAGGCCCAGCCACTGTGTCAAGATGTAATTGACTGAGTGCCTCGGACCAGTCCAGGCTGCTGAGCCCATCAGGGCAGGAACAATGAGGTGGCACCTCAAAGGAGGAAGGCTATTTCTAAGGCTCATGGTTCATGGGCCACGCGGGCTGTGATTATCATTTTAATTGCAAGGCTGCCATGGCCTTGCATTCAGGGTGCAGATTTCAATGACCAAAAGCACTCTGCAGGCTTACAAAGGACGGTGGCGGCGTCTGTGCTTCAGACTGGAGGAGCCCATTATGACATCTGCCTTTCTTGGCCTCTCCGTTGCAGCGAGACTCCCAGAAAAGAGAGACCTGACCCTCTGTTTCAAGGTCTGACTCGCATCCCACCTCCTCTGGGACCTGTCCCCAAACCCACACCAATTCCCATTCCCTCAAGTACTTAGCCCCCTCATCCCACTCCCCCACCTGGAATTCCCTCAGAACACACAGCTCCTACCTCTGATTGGGGGTCGGGGGGAGGTCACAGAATTCTAACGTCACTTCCTGTGGTGTTTCGAGATGTTAAAAAAACCTTCACACTCTGTCTTACACCCCCAGTGGTACACTCCACTCTTAATGGGCAGGAGCACCTGTCATGCTCTCTAGCAGTGATCTTCAACCTTTTAAAAAAATGTTTTTATTGTTTTTTAGATAGAGAGGAAGGGAGAGGGAAAGAGATAGAAACATCAATGAGAGCCCGAACCGGGTTGGCTCAGTGGCTAGAGCATCAGCCTGAGGGCTCAGGGGTCCCAGGTTCGGTTCCAGTCAGGGGCATGTACCTTGGTTGCAGGCACATCCCCAGTGAGGAGGTGAGCAGGAGGCAGCTGATC